TGATACCCCACGAGGTGAGATCTTGCATGGCGCCCCAGTCCGAGGGAGACTGACAGTCGTCTTTAGCCTCTTCCATTTTCTAACAATTGCTCCAACAGTTGATCCATTTTCACCAAGCTGCTTGGCAATTGCCCCGTAGCCCTTTCCAGCCTTGTGGAGGTCCACAATTTTGTCTCTGGTGTGTTTTGACAGCTCTTTGGTCTTACCCATGGTAGTAGTTGGCGTCTGACTGACTGTGGGGTGGACAGGTGTCTTTAAAGAGCTCAGACAGGTGCTACTAATTTAGATTAATGAGTGGAGTAGAGGTGGACTTTAACACAGGCACAGTAACAGGTCTTTGAGAGCCAGAATTCTTGCTGTTTCTCAGGTGTTCAAATATTTATGTTCAGCAGTGCAAGACAAATAAATTCTTTACAAATCATACAATATGATTTCCTGATTTTTTTTTTTTATTAATTCTGTCTCTCAGAGTGGGAATGCACCTACAATGTGAATTTCAGACCCCTCCATGATCTCTAAGTGGGAGAACTTGCAAAATTGCAGGGTGTTCAAATACTTCTGTTCCTCACTGTATGTAATACTGATATTTCACTCTCTTACTACTATGTTTTGTGTCTGCATTACATTTACTCATTTTACTGAACTACTGAACACAAAACAGTAAAAGATACAGTAACTCTGCCTTTCTAACCAGTATAGTTGATATGTAAACAACATTATCTAATAGTATTCTCCAGACAACCCCAGGTTGGAATCACTGGACCAGCCAGTACCGCCATTACCATTTGTTTTCTGTTAAGTATAGCTGGCTTGGATCGAAACTTATGACTTTTACTGTGGAATTGTGCAAGGTGATATGTGGCGTGTGGATGTGAGTGCAGCTCTGAAGCTCAGCCAGCCTGGGTGTGGACGAGGCCAGTGAGAGGAAAGCTTGTTGGCAGAGCTGGAGGCCTCTGGAACAGAAACGTTTTTTATCTGCTAACGTAGCTCTACTGCTGCTGGCCGCTGTGTCTGTGGTGACTCATCAAAACCACATGTACAAAAAATACTTGTAAATAAATACTAAATACTACTCTTGCTTTTCACATAGCTAATTCTTATTCCACTTGACTTAA